ACACCGAGAGATGGAAGTTGTGAAGTGTAACCTACCAGGCGACTGTGATTCGGGGATCTAGATAGTTCAGCTTGCTCGTACTGAGTGCAATCTCCTTGTTTTCGTCTCGATCCGTGGCTTGCAGTTGTAATTTTGTAAGCTGTTCCTTTGCCACACTTAACCGCTTCTTTAATTTTTCATATGCCACTTTCTTCGCAACTTGTTTGTGCCGTTTGTAATCTGCTTTGATTTGTTTCGCCTCGGTGGTGATTTCATTAATTTGATCACGTTTCGCATCGATCTGAATGAAAAATAAACCAGCGTATGAAGGAATAAAAATGAAAAAGCACTACTTGATAGGCAACCAAAAATAAATTGTGATGGACAAACGTTGTTCGACGTTAGTTCTGCAACGTCTCGACGATCAGTCAGCTTCAATTTCTACAACTGCGGATTTCCAGAAGCTAACAAAATCATACCACATATTTTTTTGTTGTATTGTCAATTCAATCATTCAATAGTAATATCCAGTTTTATATAAGGCAATCCCAAGTGAAAAAGATGTCAAGATTAATGGCCTGGGGAAATTACCAGTGAGGCATTGCCTAGTTATTAGTGTTCTGCAGCACGAAGCATCCATCAATTTTTTTAAGCTGATTTTTTCAGGATCCAGGTTTGGAATTTACTAGAAATAAACACCAGCCCTATGGACTTCTACCTGCAATAACACATCTGTTGTGCGATTGACTTTAGTTGGAAAATGTTACGTTTGTCACATGTTTATTACACTTAATATCCACAAAGTTACCGCAAAGTATCAAATTATAGGTTGTAGAAAGTATCTTAAATACTCGGGGAGATCTAATTGCATAAAGGTGTGCCAATTTCCTTCATACTAGTATTTATAAACGAACTTTGCTAAGTTTAAAGTGCTAATAATCTATGAGCTGTATTATAACTGGTATACCTAACTGAAGCCGATAGTGCCATAGGAGACAAGGTGCGAATGAAAAAATGAACAGACAAAATTCAACCAAAAACGTCAATATCAAGTGGTGACCAAATAGAAGTAAACACCAAATAAAAATTTATTCAATCCCATATAAAATTCCGCAGTATTCATCAGAAAATGTCATGTGAAAGAGATGTGATCCAAACTGAGATCATTAGAATGAAGGTTTATCTTTCTTCTCACCAAAATCATTCAAAGCGAGGGTTACGGAGAACGTGCATTAAATATTTACGACGCTAATGATCTATGATTCCAGTTTGCTATGCTCCGTTACAATCAAGTTCGAAATATTAAGATTGGTGATAAAGTCTGTCACATTTTGGCTTGCTGTTTCCAGTATGTTGTCCATGAGTAGGCCCGCAGTTTATAAACAAACGGACAAAAACGCAATGAACTATTCCAAAACTAACGGATGATATCATTTATCTTCAAGATAACTGCCTTCACAACTCCCTCACAACTAAATGAACTGGATGATTTAGAAAACGTCAACTAAGTGAAAATACAAACAGATACGAATGGAACAAGCTTGATTTTCTTAGGACCGGAGGAAGCATGTGCAGTACGTAGAAAGCAAATCGATCAACAGTAAACGATCGAAATGCGTTATAACGGTTAAATAACCAAACCTAAATGCGAATTACAGAAATAGCTGAAAACATCCGGCTTAAAAATATTGGGGAGGTATGCAATAAGAATCATCATCATCATCATTGTACAGCGTAATACAGTGAATCGAACTTCATTGAACGCTGTCAAACTCATGATGCATACAAGGTAAGTCAAAATGAGTAAGGAGGATAGGGATTGTACTTAATTTTAGGGACGGAAAAAGAAAGCGAATTTCTAAGGTTGCCCAGATATGTATTCCTAAAAAATAAGCATGAATTGACTTACTTTTTTCTGCAGATTTTCCATAGATTTGGCGAAGGATTTGGGAACTGCACGCTGGTGATTACACAGTACCGCAACTGCGCGATTCGCTCGGTTATAGGCCAAGAGCTTTGCTTGTACCGTATCGTTAGGGTCCGTCAAAAGCTCCAACTGCTCTTCCAGTGTTCGACTGGCATTGTACGTACGGAACACCTTGGCTGTCAAACCCTCCATTAGTTCACGAAGATACTGATTTAATACAGTGGTCTGCAAACATCAAGCACAAACCAGTTGGTCAGGGCTTCCAGAAGGTGCTTAACCAACTCTTTTCATTTGACTACTAATAAAATAAAAGTAGACTAAAGCTTTTGGTGCAAGTGCAAAACACTTGCTAGGCCACCACAAACGCGCACATGCCAACCGTGAACAGCTTGCCAAACAGGTAGTTGAGCCAATAATGCATCCTAATGCCTCAGTTGAATGTATTCCCTATCTCTCGCACTGGGCATGCTCATTAGCAACTGCAATAAGCACCTTGTATCCATAATCAGAGAACACCGGGATGATGGTCACTAATGGTTAGAGACAGAGCAATATGGCTGGGTGTCTCAAACAGTGGCGCTCATGCATCTACTCATTATTTTTGTAACATCAGTTTATAGGAATTCTTCTTCCGCTTGAATTTGCTCCCAAAATTTTAATCTTCATTCTGCTGTTTTATCGAAATGGGCAACCCAAACCGGCGCACGAAAGTGCAAAGTTAATGGTCGTAAGAACTGATCTGAACTGAAACACCCAGGAGTTACCACAAAGCTTTCTATGATCCCCCTGCATATAAACCTCATTTGGTAAACTAAACAGCCTAACGTTCAAGATTTGTAAGGTCGGAACGCGTTCAACTATTTTCTTCGTTTTGAAGATATGTTTGCGCCATTTCATTTTTTCACTCATTTTAGCATACTGTAGTACATTCGAATATACTGAACAAATTTCCCCAACCTAATCCGGTGCCGTTTGGCAACTGTTAGTATATTCAGACTGCGGTGCTGATGCATCAAAAAACGATGGTGATTGCTTTCCCATACCGAAAGCAGTGTCAAAGTGAGGATAGCGAATTCGAGTAGACTAAGGTTGCAAGTACATTGAGTAGATACACGAGGTACTTTGGCATATTAATCAGTGTCCCTAACCCTTGATTACACTATTTCCGAGGTCTCCATCCTACATGCCTGGTATGAACTTGATGACTGAGTTTCCTGGTCTGTTTCATACTTTCATGTCGGATCTTAGTGTGATTACGTTTGATCACCCAGTCAAACTGCCTTTGTAAACAAGTCGAGGAAGTCTGCAGTGTGGCATACGCAATGGGTGTCTGTCATCTTCATTAATGAAGATCAAACACTTCCACTGAGCAACCTTGATTACTCAATACTCCGCTTATCCTCACCATACTAATATAATGCAGCATTTGGTTGTACATTTACGATGAATATCCAAGCACTTACAGAAGTGAAGTCGGGCGTAGATGGAAAACAAACATCATTTTTGATACGCCTCAACGTGCCATAGTCAAGAGTTACCAAAGCATGACAAAGATGGCTGGAACTGAAACTTTACGGTTTCAAGATGGTCACATGAAAGTTGAACCACATGTTTATCAACCACAAAATGTGCTGACATGGCGATAAATCAGTACATAAATATTCAGAAATCAGTCAGAACTATCATAAGTGAGCTGTTACTAGCAATTAAGGAACCCTTGGTCAAAGGAAAGCTATTTTCCGCCTACTTAAAATGTTGATAAAGTATTGAAAATCGGCTCTCGTAGCTCGGGTGAACTGAATTTCATTTTAGTGCTACTTCACAAGCACTGATGATGATCTCGACTGGTGATGAAACCTTTGCAAAAAAATTGCCAAGCTCCGTAAACAGGCGAAATGGAATACTTACAATGTTTTGTTATGAGACTGACATATTGTATATACATCAAATTAGTGTTGCCTAAACAGCCAGATTCATTAGACTATGGCGAGGCTGACAATGATTTCCAATTCATGTATTTTTACATTAAAAACCCCATGTGAATGAGTGAAGTGAACTCTTGGACCACGAACAACCGTTACTCAGTTGCGGGAACCAGTGAACTAAGCTCTGGGACTTGGAAAGGCAGAGCGTTCAATAGGATAAAGATTATTGGACCGATCTGTCTACCACCGAAATGGAAGCATAGAGATGAGAATCATGATGCAACAAACGAGGCTGATCGGTTGAACTACAAAACACCAAATATACCTATCAACTCTCCTAATAAAAAATGTGAAGACTGCAATGCAGAGCGGACTTACATTGAGTCTATCAAAAAGATCATCGTTTTCTTTTTTATTCTTCAGAAACAACTTGATATTCTTGAACACCCGTTTTGGAACGGAAACTGCATTCTGGTATCGAATTGAATCTTTACCAAGAAAGTCAAATTCGACTACGAAGGGTTTTCCGTCCAACTCTTCATGAAGTTTTATATGTTCGTATCGCAGCGAACAGCAACCAACAGTATCTGCTTCATCTTCATCCTTTTCGTTACCTGCACGAAGTGCCAGCTGCCAAAGTAAAAAATATGTGGAAATAATGTGCAAAAATTGAATGACGTTATGACCCTGTCGATGACATCGTTAACTGAAAATGGGTGGTGGTGGCGTAGTGGTTTAGTCGCTGTCACCGGCGTGCTTTGGACCCTATGGTCCGAGGTTCGAGCCCCGCCACCGCCACCCGACTTTGGTGGTAGGCAGCTCTGCTGTCGCCCGGTTCAATACCACGCCTAACCTATCGGGGCCTCATGTGGCTCGCCACTCCAAGTTCCGGGGGCTTAGGTTGCCGATTTCAACCACTGAACAGCAGGTCCTCGAGACTATGGGGTTTACTCCGTCTGCTGTTCATCACACCTAGGTGTGTAATGAAAAAATCCAACAGAAAAAGGCCACAGTAAGACGGCAGCAATGAATATTCGTAAGGAACTGTAGGTTTCGTTGGTTAGAACATGTATTGCGCATGCCTAGCTGTCGTCTACCGCACCACACCTTATTCCCAGTTGCGGTTTCAGGTTGGAGGAAACCAAGTGGAGGTCAACAGATAACGTGGAAATAGGGCATAAATAAATGCACAGCGAGATTAGGTAGCGTAGTGTCTCCCGTCTTCCAGGATGAGGTTCGAAATATTCCGTAAGTGATTGGTTGGAGACACTGAGGGATATGGCAACTAACCGACGACGGTGCCGTTCTTGTCGTTCTTTCTTAGGTCAGAACGCTTGACAAGGTAAGTATTCACAGTTGTGTACTGCGTATTGATCATAGAGGTTTACTTTATTTTCCTCCATTCAGTTAGGCCCAAATATCCATCTTGTACTTTCTCACTTATCTCGCGCACATTGAGTTTGGAAGCGATCGGCGAAATTCTTTTCTCTGTATCTCGCCGTACAATGATGATGGCTGCAACCAAGTAGTATGTTTCTGTTTAGCGGTGAATTTAGCAGCTGCTATCGTCTATGGCAAAAGCATCCGTTGATGAAATACATCATTTTTTATTGGTTTACACTTGTAATAACTACTTTGCCAACACCCATTGAATCTGTTTCGAGATCGATCAAATGCTTAAAACTACCAACAATCGCAATTCACAAGCTAGGTGATGCATCGACTGAATCGCATGGAGCAAGTTACTGCAAATCATGTGGATTCATTGAGTACCAACAAAAAATACGGATAGCACCCATATGTACCTTATCTATGAAATAAAGAGCGACGGCCCGTTGTCGAATGCGCATTTCTTTGTGCTTGAAATCTGCTCGATAATCCGCGCGAATCCGATCAATAATTTTATGCAGACCCCGTGCGGTTTCATATTTTTTCCAATCCTTTTCTCCCTAGAACAAAACAGCGTTTTGATACTGTAAACTGGTCTTACCTTCAGCCGGGAAGATGGGTTTAGCATGACATATTTAAAGTTGTTTTGAATATTTTCAGTCCAGCAAGCTAACCAAGTAACACTGTTGTCGTGCCGAACTTCCTTCCACTTGTGTCCAGGTGGAGGCTGAGGAATTTTCGAGTCTTTAGAACAATTTATAATAACATGTTCCGGAAGAGTGCGTCGTTTTAGCATCCCCATTTTTGGGTGATTTCCTCGCCCGCGGAATAACCCCGGAGGCTCAATGCGGAAGTTGCCAATACGCTGTCTGTGGCCGTCGAGGATACAATAACCATATTCGTTTTGCAGTGCGAGATTTTCCTCTTTCGCTTTCTGCTTCTCTTCTTTGGTACGATTCTTTCGTTCTTCACTGAGACGCACAAAATATGCATGCATTTCTTTAAAATCACATTTGCTAAGGGACCTGATAGTCCGACGCTCTTCGTCAGTCATAACCTATGGCAAGCCAAATTAAATATTAGTTCATTCTTGGGTTACCTTGTGCCAATCTTTGAAGAAGTTATTGTTGAAAACTTCCTTTGTAGTGTAATCATGATCAAGCATACGGGCATAAAATCCCGCCACCTCTTCGGCAGCATCAGATAATCGCATTGGTTTGCCATCATAAAAGAAGCGTACGGAATCAGGAAGTCGTTCATATGGGGGAGCGAACACAGGTCCTTTGTGTTCCAAAAACGTCCACTTTTTGCTATCGTCAGTTTTGATTTCTTCCCACCACCTCCAAACTTCTTCCTCCTGTTTCTCCTGCTTCGTTGACTTCGTGGGATTGGTCGTAGCGGATTTTGAGGGTGTGCTGGGCTCTTTTTTAATTTTCGGTTTTTCAGGTTTGGGTTTCCGGGCGTCGCCATGGGACTTGGTGTCAGAAGACTTACAAAACACAAAGTGCGGTGCAACTTACGTGACGTCGATCAGGTGATTCTAATTTGGGCTTTTTAGACAATCGCATCATTCTAACGAAGGTTAAGGTTAAAAAATGCAACTTACTTAGCAGACAGTGGGATATCATCATCTTCGTCACTGGATGAATACCGAGCTCGACTTTGCTTCAGCTTTTCCGCCAAAGGCATATCTTCATCCGAGTCCGATTTGATGGAGGAGCTGTGCGCTCCGTTTCCCACTGTGGAAATGTTATTCAACACTCCTGTCATGCTGCAGGTATCACTTGTTTGATATGACCTGGAAAAAAATATAATTAAACGTCGAAAATAACCCGTTTGAAGAATCAAACTTTCACAACCCGATGTCAATTTCTTGCTACCTGAGCGAAATATTTGGCTCGTCTTTATCACAGATGATTGAGAGAACCAGCAGGCGGCTTAATCATAATTCTATTGGGCTGCGATGCACTTTTGAGTGTTGGGCATTAACTAAGGCGTTAAGTCGCTTCGCTTTCGCTTGGCTACATATCCACACTATTGAGGGCTCATGTGGATTGATATTTCAACTGCCGAAGTAAAAAGGTATCCATAATACAGCAACCTTGTTGTCTTTTTTATTACACACTAGTGTGATGAGCAGCAGACGAGGCGGACCCCATAGCCACGAACACCTGTTGTTCAGTGATGGTAACCGACAACCTAAGCCCCGGGACTTGGAGCGGTGAACCACATAAAGCCCCGATAGGTCAGGCGTGGTATAGAGCCGGGCGACAGCAAAGCTGCCTGACACCAAAGTTGGGTAGCAGTTGCGAGGTTCGAACTTCGGACTATAGGGTCCAATGCACGCCGGTGACAGCGACTAAACCAGAGCCACCACCAATCCCTAAATAAATTCACACAGAAGAGGACTATTAAACACAGAACATTGATTTCAAACCTACCAAGAAGCGTACGAACAACACACGAGGGTTGTGGTAGTGGTCACTAGCTTAATTGGGCACCTTGAACGTTCGACCCCATCCAAAGGGCATATGATCCGATTAATTGGACACCGGTCCCCAATGGATTGCAGTTCTCACAAACCGCACCGCTGCTTTGCGGGGAAGGTATTAGCTAATTGGGGGCTTCGATTGTGGATTCCCCAAGACTTCCCAGCTTTTGTCTGAGCAACCTGGCAATATCACGTCCATAAGAAAACCGTGAATCACTTTCTTTTTATGACTATTGTACTATGATGCCTCTAGGCCCAGACGTGTGAAAACATTCGACATACGAAGCGCCCTGAAACTTCCGCTCGCCACGAGGATTATGCTGAGGTTTGAAGTGCGTGTCGAAGTATTAATCTCTGGAGGCTCGTGAAAATTAAAGAACTCCGATTTTCAGTTGATCATTGTATATTGTTCTACTTTGTGTTACGGATAACTTGCATTTGGACTGTGAATACATACACGCCCTACAGCAGAACGTGCCATGAACTGAAGGTAGCAGTGCGATAATTTGTGATCAGTTTTTAGACACTTGAGTGTCGAGTAGTATGAGAAAAGAGGTTCGTTGGGACTCGAACCCGCATTTCAGAAAAGGATTTTCCGTAAGATTTCAAGCTCATTGCTCGGGAACCAACAACCTACATGAGCTTAATTGGGAGAGTACATTTAAAAAAAGCGAATAATTGCCTTTATTTGGCGTTTGATTTCATGCTATATGCCAAAATGGTTTCAGTTTGTTTTTACAAATATAAATCATGCATTTTCATGCGCTGGTTTCGATTGCCGCCTGTTGACAGCCTATTCGGATGAACAGATTGGAATGTTGGGAAAAGTCAAAGGGAAGACGGAGAAATCATATTGATTTTAAGAATAATGAATAGATGCATGACCTTCGCGCCTTGCGACACTTAGTCAGGTGAGGTGTGTATGCATCGGTTACCCTAATCCCGGGGTCATCATAGAGGTAGCCAAACGGGAGCTGTCTCATCGGACTTTCCCGGTTACGGTGTGCATACCCAGGTCTTAGGTGGACCGCCCTTGACGTTTTTCCATCATTGCGATCTCCAAATCTGCCCTCACCCTCATGCTTCACTCTGCAAGCCAGGCAAGTCGGTACCCGAAGCACGCGGTGTTCTTGGGATCAGGCTTGCGCTAAGCTTCAAGACCGGCGGTTCATTTCTTGACTGGATTTCAGTTAGCCAAAAACTGCATAGTTTACGTCTTGATATGCCACAATAACAACTCCCGTGGAAAAGGAAAGAGTATTGTGTGCTAATAGGTGGTAAACCCTCAGTTTCCAGGGAAAATAAGGGAAATCAACACTAGCTTCTTTAAATTGGATTGAGGTGATGCCCCCGGATGATTGACTGCGTTGAAAATGAATACCTCTTGCTCACCGACAAATGACCGTCAGAAAGGCATTGAATTGGATGAGCAGAGAGTGTATTCAGTTCATGATTCCAGGACTCCTGATTTAAGAACAGATTCAGGAATGCACACCTCCCGCCTAACTAAGCATTCAGCGCTGGAATGAACATGCGAAATTATCCAAATGTAGTACACAGAGAACGTATTGAATAACAGAGAGCCTTTGGTGATAAAAAGCGACGTTTGGCCTATGGATCTGGTCAAGTTATCTAGGTGCTGAGTTTTACCTAAAAGTATTGTGCCAAAGTTTTACCGATATTGATACGATAGAAAGCACACGGTTCTATGAAACTCATAGATTCCAGGAGCCAATACCGCCAAAAACTTCCATTCACATCCAAATCCTATTTACAATAGTCTTTGCGATTCACGAAGCCGTTCGCGCAAAGTTAAAATGCCTCAGAAAAGGTGCAAATACACTCCAGCGGATCCCCAAGAAGGACCAGCGAAATAAAACAACCACTCGAAAGTTGCTAAATGCTAGGCGAAATTTAACTCTGAAACGCACCACAACCAAAGTGAAAAAATCAGGGAAGCGCAACCACACCGCACTCACCAGAAGCGTAACACAGACCACCCGAACGAGCGCCGGCCCGTTTGAATGTGCGGAGGAGCTTTAAAACAAATAGCAGTTCCTTGACTATCAAATTCAAAATTTAAATTCAAATTTCAAGACTTGAGGAGGCGTTCGCCTGTGAAGTGTCCTGGTTATGGCATGTTCTGTTCTGGGACTGACTCGCCTGCGAGTTTGTATTGTTACTGATTTTGCCGTTCCGGAGTTATCTGGAATCAGAGAAAAGAAACAGAGATGGCGCAGTCTCTGTTTCTTGGGGGTCAGGGTGAGCTATCATTGGCATAAGTCTGGAGAAAGGGAGCTCCACGCTAGGGTCTAACTCACGCTTAAAGGTCTGGACCGATTGACATCCTGTTATATCCGGGAGCATTGGGCTTAGCCTCGAACTCGTGAAATACTTCAAGACTTCAAGATATATCCGGCTGTGGGGTAGACAGTTGAGAGCGCTCTGTGTTTTCAGGGCCCCGCAGTCTAATAGGGCAGAGGATTCCGTCTTAGTGGCGCTCCTAGGTAACATAATGAGGGAATCATCGCGATTCCTCATATTGAGCAACTTCAATCTGCCAGAAATAGACTGGGACAACGAAAGCACACCGAGAGGCACCGCGGGTAATTTACTCTTGGACTGGGCGCACCAAAGCAGCACGTCAAAATACCCACAGAATTCAGAGGTGGCCATCTTCCGTTAACGTTAAACTTAGTTATAAATAGGTGTAAAACAGACCTCACTTCTCTTATGACGGAAGAACCGTTAGGAAAGAGTGACCATAG